CTTGGTTCTCATTTTTTCCCCGTGTAAAGGCCAGCTACTTTTTTTTTTTTTTTTTTAAGTCTCACATGCTGGATTTCTTAGGCATCAACACAGGACAGTGAGGGGAATCACTCACTCACAGTCACAAGGGGCAGTTCATTCCTCTGACGCTGTGCTGAATATTTATCTTTTTGTCCACATAGCTTGAGCTGAGAGATCTTAAATTAGGTTTCCCAGAGGATGTGAAAGGAAAGCAGAATGTCTTCTTTATATTACGGAAAATTCCAATTTTTATAATTTCCCCCCAGGACATGCTACTGACACATTCAGCTATTCATTCACATAATGGACCTCACGCTGTTACAACTTCTGAGGGACTCTTGGGGAATATTGAAAGTAACCCAACTCCAGTGAAGTTAAAAATAGATTCTCCACCAAATGACACGTTATCTAAGTTCTCCACGTAGTTATTAAATACACGGAAGATCGTCTCTGTGCACAATCTACAAATGGCTTAGATTACATATTAAAATTCTAATTAAAAGTCTTCATCTCATCTCCGTCGGCTGATTGGAGATTAGAGAGTAAATTCTGGTCTGGAGTGAAGGCTCAGGAAGAATCGCGACTTCTGATGGCAATGTGGAAATTAATGGCAGGATTATAAAGTGTTTCTAATAGAAAAAGAAACACAAAACTATGAACAACCTCCGAGGCCTTTGTTAGGTCTGAGTATGTAGTCTCATGAAGAGAATCCTTGGGGACCTCTACTCCCCAGAACTTTAGTTTCTCCGGAGTTGGAAAAAGACAGATGTGGAAGCTAAAATCTCTGCAGGGTATGAGAGGAAAGTATTACCATGATTACGCTCAAAATTGAAATCGTAAATAAACCCAAGCTAGCAATTTGGCTGATTAGAAAATATATTATGATATATAAACCAAAACTTTCCAATACTTAAGATCCCCAAAACAGAATTACTTATGTTTTTTTATTTAATTCATCACTGAGGGCAAACAATATTTCTGAGTGCTGTTCTGAAAAGTCATGATTAATTTAATGAAGAATGTTAACAGGTCACATCATTGCCTGAAATATTTCCAATAGGAGGAAAAGTACACATTTTCCATAGTTATCCTCACACGACAGCACAGTAATATGTATTTGATAGTCTACGAGACCAACTTTTTGACATATAGTTTAAGTTAGATAACTATTTGGGTTTAGAAAAGCTCAATAAAATATTGTACCCATCATTTAGTGGAGAATTAGATATTTTGAAGTAAAGGTAGAGTATTTTGCCTTTCTTACTCTCCAGTAGCTTCTGGAAGCCAACTCTGAGGATAGTCATATAGAGAACAGAATGTTAATATTTTGAATGGTAACAAAGGGAAAATATTTGCATTGTTGATGTGTAAATGAAACAATATGTTTTGCTATAAACGCTCTCTTAAGTAGTGTCAGACTTATAACACAATGAAAAAGAAAAACCAACATGTAGCTGATGGATGAGAGTTGATATGCAACACAAAAGCGTTTCATAGAAGTTGGAAAACTCCCACGAGGGGATTAGGCAGAAAGAGAGGTAAAGATTTTACTTCATTTTCTTTGTACAGCCTTTAAAAAAAAAAATCCCAGAATATTCTAGAACATAAGCATCTCCTTCAAGAATTGTAATTTGGAAAATTTTTTATTAGACACATATTATCTGTAACCTGTTCTTTGACTGACAGAGGACCTACCTGGCTTCTCCAGCAGCTGTCCCAGAACTTCACAGCAATTGGCAGAGTGCTGAGACTCAGTCAGACCCTCAGAGACGCTCGTTGTATTCAGTTGCTCTATCTTGTGCAGTCTCCCCTGTCCAAATCTTTTGATAAAAGTCAAGGGAAAGCATGATTTATTAATATGGCAAAGTCATTACAATCCTGAACTACAATGCTATTGAACCTTCCCCTAGCTACTGCTGTATAAAGAAGTCTTTAAAAACCAATTTAACTTCCTTCCACCCAGTCAAGTTTTCTCCACAGATAATTGGCTTTCATTATATGCACAAAAAGCATCAGTGGAGTCAGTATGTATGAGGCATTTAAATATTTTCAAATGAAAGTATGCCTGTATTTATGTTTGGGTGCCCAAACACGCACTTCTACTTGATTCCATGTAACTGGTCATTAACACTCCTATAATGTAAGAGAAAGCATTGTGGAAATTATAAGCAGCCAAGTTAGTCATTATCAGGAGAAGAAGTTTAATAAAGTCAGCATTGCAGATGTCATATTCTTTTATTTTAAGCAAGTACTTAGAAAGCTATGTATCCTCCTCAGTAATTGTGCTGAATCGTGTGCCCACTCCTAGAATACTTCTGTTTCATTTTCCGATTGTTTTCCCCCCAAGTGTCATTTTCACAACATCTCTTTTAGGGTTTAAAACTTGGTGTAATAGTGTCATCAAAAGTGGACCTGAGGTGCCAGTGCAGAATTGCTAATTATTCATAAGTACCTTGAAACATTAGATTAGCAATGTTTATAATTGTCTAAATAAGCATGACAATATGAAATCAATTACCATGCACTTTAACCTATGACATTTCACTGCATTATAACAGTAGTAAAGTTGCCACAAACTTTTTTCTATTGCCTGAAAACCTAACTAGTAGTAAATATTGATGGTAAACATTGGAAAAATAAGCACAGTGGCCTATGAAATGCTGAAATGAGTCTACTTACTTGAAAATTCATTTCCTCTGGCTTAAGAATCTGAGTTTGATGTTGAAGAATTTCACACGTGAGAATCTTCAGGAACTTCTTGACCCCAGCGTCTCTCTTCCACTGGTGAACTATTATCAAAGAGCCTTATGTGAATAACAATGTGACTATTTTGTACAAGTCCCTCAACTTCTGAGAACTGACTGGTTTTTGTTTGGAGGCTTCTCCCTGAGCCAGGTGCCTGTTGCTGTCCCTTGTCAGGTTAGTCACCAAGAGCTGTCTCCTCATGAGCTCCTTCACTTTGTCTGCCAGGGGCCCAGTGGGGTGAAGTGGGGCTGCTTCTCCTCCCTGGGATTGACTGGAAGGAGAGGGTTAACATTGTTTTTTGTTTTTTTCCATTCAAGATCAAAGGCAGACTTGTCATGGGACACGACACAGTTAGTTCTGAGTCGAATGTGGGTCTCAGACTTGCT